TGCAATATAATAAAGTTGGTTATAGAATATTTAAATATATGCATGGCATGCATTAGAATTTAAATATGTGCATGGCATGCATTAGTATTTAAACATATGCAGAGCAGGCATGTGTTAGAGACTATATGTTAGAAATTATTTAACTTAAACAGTCATTTTACCTGCGTTTGTTTTATAGTATATTTCGTAAAAGTACAGGCAGAAACAAGCCTATGCTGTAATTAAACAGTGGAAAGTAATCTTCCTAGAACATACTTAAATAGAAAATCATTATTCATATAATATGTAGTATCGATATACCTTCGAATTTATCGATCAAATCGTCCAGATTTTTCTACTTTAAGACAGTGCCGAGGTCTTCATATAACGATTCTTTGGTAAAATCCAAAACAAGTGATAATTCGAAACTCACCTCAAGTTGAAGTTTGATGATAATTCTACCAAACCGTAGTTACGTACTTCCGGTTAACATGAGACTTTAGCAATGGTGGACAAAGCCTATAAAAGTGCAAAACTCGGACAATCTATTGTATCACAGCATTTTGAATAGATTATCACCATTAATAGGTTGTTATAGAATTTGGGAAACACAGAGACCAATGAACAACCCACATGCTTTAGAACCATGTGGTTTCACCGAAGAAATTAGTAATTTTATAGATGTGGCCTTCCTTAGTTTCAAAGTTCTACTCAAATAAGTCTCCAAAGCATGTTATAGACGGACAGCTCTTTTTGTTGATATTTCCCTGCATAAAAGGTTGAGAACGTATTACCAGGCCGATTCTGTTTTAGATGAGTGGTAAGATGAAATTCATAATAGTTTCTGTTTTCCTCATACTTTGAAGATCCTGAAAAGTCAAGGTCTGACATCGTTGACCCGACGTGAGGGCAACTAACATGACAAGCTTTAAGAAAATGTCTTTTAAAGATAACTGAGCAGCAGGGAACATTCCTTTTAAATAATCTAAAACGACATTAACATTCCATGTTTCGTCATACTTGGCGGCTGGCTTTCTCGCATTAAACACTGCTTTCATGAAGCGAACAATGAATGGTTGAGTGGTTACTGTATAGTTTCGATAAATTTAACGTCTATTAAAGTGCATATGATATGATTACCATTTTTTCACCAAAAATTTCCAAAAATCAAGCGATTCGAATGATATGCATCATTCCCCGATCGGATAAATACTTCTAAAGATATCTTGGATCAAACATGCCAAAATTAGGTTTTTTCAATAGTTGGCCGGGAAAAAAGAGTCTGAGAACTAACTAGGGTTTTGACGTCATACCGGGCAGGCAAGAAAATCGACTGGTGTCATATTACAATAAATATATGTCGTAGGCGTCAATTATTTGTATACTTTGCGTTGCAAAATGCCCGCTTGATGTGTCGTATACGGTTGTGCCAACACACCAGATGCTTAAAATTAAATGTGTAATGGAGATTTGCAGATTGAGAAATGGGTAGACGTCGTTAAATTCAAGCGCGCTGGATGGGAGCCATCACGTGAAAGCCATGTTTGCTCCAAGCATTTTAAGTCTGATGACTTTTTGGGAATTTGCGTGGTTTAGAACAACACACATTACCTCGACTGAAGAGAAACGAAATTGGGGTTACCCCGTATCCAACGATGCAAATTGCGGTCGAAAAACAGATGAACTTATCTGCGAGATCTGCAAGGGCGATTCGACGTAAAGTGAAAGGTTACAGTCACTCATGTTTTACATATTTATCGAGAAATTATGTGGGTAATTCATTAGGGTTGGACATTCTAAATGCCCTTTTAGATTATGAGAGAAAGCGCGTCCCATAGTGAGGAATCAGAACCATCTGTTACAACAGATTGGGACACTGGTGCAAAGAGCAAATTGTTTATAACTTATAAGACCACAGTTGATAGAGGTGATAAGACATAGTGATATTGTTTACATTGCTATACATCCTTGGGGTTGTTTCCATGAACACTGGTTCTCATATCAGAGGAATACATAGAAGTTGTCCAAAAATGAGGCCACTGGGACAAAGTGTTACCAGAGAATTCATTACCAACCTGTGTCCATAGTTATGATGTCTTACATAAATAAATGTTACATGTTGGTGTTTTATTAATATTTATTTATAATGTTACATGTTTATTGATATATAATATATAAAGTTATAATAATGTTACATGTTGGTTCTTTATATATGAGAGAATGAAAGAAAGCACATCTCATTCTAAGAAGTTTGTTGCAAATTGCCCATGGAACAAAAGAACAGAACATTTATAGGTTAATTTTTCTTATTTCAATTTGAGATGTAAAAACACCAAAATTGAGCTAGTCGACTCATACATTATTAGTAAATGATTGTTTATAAGACATAGTTTACATTGCTGTATAGTTTTTTCCATAACACTGGTTCTCATACGAATACATAGAAGTTGTCAAAAAATGAGGCCACTGGAACAAAAAGTGTTAAAGCAGTAAGTTCTAACACTCTTTGTTGAAAAATAGATATATTAAATATATATAAAGAACCAACATGTAACATTATTATAGCTTTATATATTATATATCAATAAACATGTAATATTATAAATAAATATTAATAAAACACCAGCATGTAACGTTTATTTTTATGATATAACATTTATAGTACGCGCGTGCTGATTGGTCGAGAAGCGTGTTTCTATAACTGTATAGAAACACGGGAATTTTCCCGCCGAACTTGACAAGCGAAGCGATGTAATGAGAATTTGTAATTGAATCGAATTATAATATTTGTACAAAATCTTTATATTGAGTTATATTATAAAAGAAATAGAAAACATTTTTTCCTGTGTTTCTATACAGTTTTAGTATACACCCGACTATCGTCTATTACAAATCCTACATTCTGATTGGCTACTCAACCATCGTCTATTCGTGATGGTGCACGGTTGGGAAAATTTCGCTAGCGCGACCGTAAAAAATTGAATTATTTTTCGGTGTGATTGCGGTGTATTGATTATTTTCTCGAAATTAATATATCTAGGTACAGGGTGTATACTAAAACAATTAGACAACTCGCCTTCGTTGTCTATGAGCGAATAGTCAACTCAGGCTTCGCCTTCGTTGACTATTCGCTCATAGACAACTCGGACTCGTTGTCTAATTGTTAAATAGAAACACTTGTGGGAGTTTGGGAGAACTCGAAATAACGTGGAAAAACTCGCCCTATGGGCTCGCTTTCCCACTGATTATTTCTCGTTCTCCCAAACTCCCACGCGTGTTTCTATAACTGTATAGAAACACGGAAAATGTTTTCTATTTCTTAAATGTAAGACATCATAACTATGGACACAGGTTGGTAATGAATTCTCTGGTAACACTTTGTCCCAGTGGCCTCATTTTTGGACAACTTCTATGTATTCCTCTGATATGAGAACCAGTGTTCATGGAAACAACCCCAAGGCTATATAGCAATGTAAACAATATCATTGTGGTCTTATAAACAATTTGCTCTTTGCACCAGTGTCCCAATCTGTTGTAACAGATGGTTCTGATTCCTCACTATGGGACGCGCTTTCTCTCATAATCTAAAAGGGCATTTAGAATGTCCAACCCTAATGAATTACCGACATAATTTCTCGATAAATATGTAAAACATGAGTGACTGTAACCTTTCACTTTACGTCGAATCGCCCTTGCAGATCTCGCAGACAATTTGCATCGTTGGATACGGGGTAACCCCAATTTCGTTTCTCTTCAGTCGAGGTAATGTGTGTTGTTCTAAACCACGCAAATTCCCAAAAAGTCATCAGACTTAAAATGCTTGGAGCAAACATGGCTTTCACGTGATGGCTCCCATCCAGCGCGCTTGAATTTAACGACGTCTACCCATTTCTCAATCTGCAAATCTCCATTACACATTTAATTTTAAGCATCTGGTGTGTTGGCACAACCGTATACGACACATCAAGCGGGCATTTTGCAACGCAAAGTATACAAATTTTTTACGCATACGACATATATTTATTGTAATATGACACTAATCGATGTTCTTGCCTGCCCGGTATGACGTCATGTCAAAACCCTAGTTAGTTCTCAGACTCTTTTTTCCCGGCCAACTATTGAAAAAACCCAATTTTGGCATGTTTGATCCAAAATATCTTTAGAAGTATTCATCCGATCGGGGAATGATGAATCGCCTGATTTTTGCGAATTTTTGGTGAAAAAATGGTAATCATGTCATATGCACTTTAAGTTACTTGACAAAGCTGAACGAGCCGTAATTATGGCAGAGTAAGATAAATGTTGGTCATATAAACAAACAAGAACACATTAATAGGGTACCATTAAATTAATTTGCCCTTGAAGGCAAAACTCGGACCATTTTGCAAGTTAAACGTTTTGTTGGAAACGGGTCTTCACAACACAATCACAATTCAAAATAATATAATAATAAAAACAATTTACATAAGGTCGATAGCTACTACATATGCGTTCTCGCTTCGTTCTCGCTTCGTGCATGTGTTTTCGAACTTTTTCCTCCCGTCTCATTCCCCGCTCGGGGAGTCTTTTCGCTGGTACTACGTAATTTACTTCACTCTCCCCCTATTTGGCTTGTAACAAGGCAAATATATCACAATAAATTGCGTACGGAACAATTAACTCAGTGTAAATGTTTCTTTAGTGTATGCTAAATGTTCTTTAGTCCAATTCGTCTAATTCATCTCTGGCGATGTTCGCAATACGTTCACGCGCCTTTGCTGCCGCATTTCTCGAAGATCTTCTGTAAAAAACTTCCCGTTCTTCGTTGGGTCCAATATCATCAATTTGGTTCTTGTCGCATGATAACTCCATGGGGAAGAGATGTTGCATCGCTCGTTCGATATAGGATTTCCCAGCTCGTAATCTTGCTCCTCTGACCACTCCGTCTCTTCCAATAATGAATGATTCAATTATCCCAATTCTCCACTTCCCTCGGTTTCGTTCGTCGCCTTTTATTAGAACCACGTCACCTGGCTTCGCCGTCATCTGCTTCGTCTTATGTTTAGTTTGTGTCTTTCTCGTAATGATTTTATGTATTCGTTTGTCCATCTGGCCCAAACGACATCTTTGCATCTTCTCAAATACCTTGCACGTTTTCGAAGTTCAACATTTTCCACTCCAGCAGGTTCTTCTTCAGGCAGTTGGATTTGCTGCACGAACTGCATCGAATTTGGAGTTAATATCGGCATCTGAACGTCATCCTCTACGTATGTCAGCGGTCGGTTGTTGATTGTGGTTTCGACGTCGAGCAGTACTTCTTCTAACTCTTTCCAGCGTAGGTTTCCTTGTCCGATTGATTTGTAGAGTGCTTGTTTCATTACGCCGACTAATCGCTCGAATTGTCCGCCCCACCAAGGGGCGCGGCTTAAGTTGAACTTCCACTTGATATCTTGTTTTGCTAACCAACTGTTGAATTTCTCATCCTTTTGAACTCTTCGTAGCCATTTTGCAGTAGCCAACAAGGTTTTGCCATTGTCCGAAAATACCTTTTCTGGACGTCCCTTCCTTGCGATAAATCGCTTCAAACTGAGTAAAAACTCATCTGTACTTTGATTTGGCAATAGTTCGAGATAAACTGCCCTAGTTAAACTACAAGCATACAACGCTACGTAAGCCTTCTTCTCTTTCTTTGCTTTACTTAAATATCTGATTGGTCCCGCAAAGTCAACTCCGATGACTTGGAATGGTGTCGAACCGGTGGTTCTTTCGAGAGGCAAGTTAGCTGTCGGAGGATCTGCGTACGCCTTAACCTGGAATCTTTTACACCCGTGGCACTTGCGTATCAGCCGTTTCGTCAGTCGCCTCAATCGCGGTATCCAATACTTTTCCCTGATTTTAGTCATTGTCAGTAAGGCTCCTCCATCTAGGGTCTGCGAGTGTGCATGCAGAACTAATTTCTCGGCAACTACGTCTTCTTCAGGAACATAAATAGGATAGTCTCCTTGCACTCTTCCTCTGCATTCATAGATACCTCGTTCGTTTAATTGAAGATTTAGTTGGAGCTTGTCCTCTTCGAATTTTTCCTTTCCTTCATGTCGCGACTGTCTCTTCTAATCCAGAACTCGAGCTGTTCGTTCATGCCTTCTGTAGTCAAAGGGCCGGTTACCTTTTGTTTCATCCGACAATTTCTGGTGAATCTCGTAATCCACGCTGTGATTCGAACGGTCTTCTAAAGATCCCATTTCTCAATAAGCTTATCCAGATCATCTTGCTCCAATTCCACTGCTACAGCTAGGACTTCCTTGATAACTTTAGCTTCGGCTAGCGATTCTTTGCTTGGGCTGGTTATTATGTCTTCAGGCCACTCGTTTTCGTCTATTAACCACGATGGTCCCTTGAACCACGTCTCAGATAACTCGTCAACCTTGCCTCCCCGGCTTCCGAGGTCCGCTGGATTTTCAGTTGAACTGACATACCTCCACTGTATATAGTCCTTTTCCTGGATCTTATGAACGCGATGACTGACAAATTGTTTGTACTTGCCGTTTCCCCGAATCCAGTGGAGGACCACTGTGCTATCTAGCCAACTGAATGTATTTCGGAATGGAAAACCCATCAATGCTTCCCTTGCGTTGTGGAGCAAGTTTGCTGACATATGTCCCGCGATGAGTTCGAGTCTTGGGATGGTTAAACCCTTTTTTGCGAGTCTTGACTTCGACGCCACGATACCTTGGCTGACACCTGACGGCTGCCTTGTGACGGCATAGACGACTGATGACACTCCTTTACCACTAGCATCGCCGAAGGCATGTAGATCAATTGCATCGATTTCCTCCTGATATCTAACAAGACTCCTCGCTATTTCAACTTCTTTCGGTCGGTTTAGTTCTCATGAAATCCATTTGGCGAGCAATTCCGGGTTTAATTCTTTGTCCCAAGACATCCGTTCGTCACAGATTTCTCTATAGATCAATTTTCCCTGTAATGTTGTGGGCGATACAATTCCCAAGAGGTCATATATCTTGGCGATGTTACCGAGGACATTTCGTTTCGTGATTTCCTTCAACGGCTCTGGAAAGTTCACCTTGATACTGTCCGTATTCTTATCCCAAGGCACGCCAAGCAACTTTGTTTCTCCAGCTTTTACTCCTAATTTCTCTTTCGCATAGCTTGTTTCAACTTGTTCAAAGGGCTCTGGTTCCAATTCAAGCTTCGGATTATTTGAATGCCACTTGTGTAGTTCAAATTTCCCTTCACTGAAGATGGTCACACACGATTTCTTCAGGTTCTCGGTCTCCTCAAGCGTGTTGCCTCCCGATATGAGGTCGTCCACATAAAGGCTGTGTCGTATTTCCTCGACCTCATTCGGAAAGACTGATTGCATGTTCTGGAGGTGCTGCTCGATGACTCCCCCCAATAAGAATGGAGACGTGGAAAGGCCGAATAATGCTCTTGTGAATCTCAATGTCTCCACTTCTCTTGTTGTCAAGTCCTTCAGCTAATGAAAGCGTAACGCATCGCGATCATCTTTCCTTATTCGGACTTGCAAAAAGGCCTGCCGCCGGATAGAGCTACCGGGTGGAATCGATTCTTCACGAGAATACTCCATAATTGGTTTTGCAGTGCTGGGCCTGGCTCTAAGCACTCATTTAACGCAGGAGCTCTCTCACTTGGACGTGCCGAAGCATCATATACAATTCGGGTTTTGGTACTCTCTGCTGTCTCACGTACGACCGGTTTGTGAGGGATATAATATTCCTTCCCCTTTGGCTCTCTTCCGCATGTTCAACAATTCCTTCCGATAATTGATCTTTTATTATTGCATCGTATTTGGACAGCAAACCGGGTTCTTTATCCAGTTTCTTCACGAGAGATTTTAGTCGCTTAATGCTACCGTCCTTGTTGTTGGCGAGTGGTGGGTGGTTCCCCTTCCAAAGGAGCCCTGTTTCATACCATCCAATTGGACTTCTCACTAATTGCTCTTTAAATTCTTGGTAGACACTGAATTGATCACCAGTTGGGTGGTCCTCCAGGCCAAGCACGTCGAGTCGACACAAATTCTCGTAGTCTAAGGACGTTGTTTGGGTTAAGAGCATCTTGGTCAGGTCAGCTTTCTTGCCCGGTGACATGATAGTCCACCCTTGCTGTGTCAGCTCTGCAATTGGTTCTCCGGGTTCTCCAAGTTTAGGTGTTGTCTTCGTTTTAATCTTGGTGTATTCAGTAATTCCTAAGATCAGGTGCACGGGTAGATAGATAGATAGATAGTTTATTAAAAACAATTACATTGCAGCTGTAATAACTGAATTGCGTAATTGGTGTACAGTTGATTCAGATTCATGATAGACGAGAACCACCTTTCGCATAGCTGAGAACGTCTATCTTTTAGAGAAGATAGGTTAAACGTCTCCAAGTTAGATTCGTATGGTTGGCTTGGTGAGATGATAGCAAGTGCTCTTTTCTGAACATTTTCTAAGTCATCACACAGGTATTTTGGGAGGGAATGATGGAACACTTGTGAGCAGTATTCTAACAAGGGTCTAATACAAGTGGTGAAAAAATTTCGGATTTCCACAGCTGGCACTCCAGAACGCTTCAGCAGTATTAAGAAATACATACGTTTGTTAGCTTTTTTCACTGTTTCGTCAATGTGGATGCTCCACTGGAGGTCAGATGAAATGTTTAGACCTAGGATCTTTGCATGTTTAACAACCATAAGTGGTCGGCCATTCACTGTTAAAGGGTCAAAAATGTGTTTAGAATGTTTGAAGTCGATAATAAGTTCTTTACATTTCTTAGCATTCAACTGAAGTTTATTTTCAGCGGACAACTTTTCGACAGACGTGACTGAATTTTGGACCTGGCTATTAGCTGCACTCTGGACAATTTCCGATACAGTTGTATCATCAACGAATTTCCAGCTACTGACATTTTGGATCTTTAAGTCGTTGATCATAAGTAGGAACAGCCACGGCCCTAATTTTGTCCCTTGCGGAACACCAGAGGGGACATCTCCCCATTCAGAAAAATAATCGTGTGAGAGTTTAACACGTTGTTTACGATTCGTTAAGAAGTCGGCTACCCACCGCGCAATCCTCCGGGGGATGTTTAAACTAAAGATCTTTTGTTGAAGGATTTGGTGATCGATTAAATCGAACGCTTTTTTGTAGTCAAACAGAACTACTCTGACTGCAGCTCCTGTAGCGTCCGTTGCTTGAGCCCAGTGGTGTATCATGGAAATAAGGGCATGCGCTGTCGAGGACTTCGCTATGGCTCCGAACTGACAGGGATCGATAATATCCAGGATCGCAGGTGCGATATACAATTCCACAACAAACTCCTCGGCGACTTTGGAAATAATTTGCGTTAGGAAAATTGGTCTAAGGTGATTGTTCACATCCTCGACCGGGCTTTGTTTTGGTACTGGGATGACATTAGCTAATTTCCAAGATGAGGGAAGATATTGGTCAGCAAAGGAACAGTTTATAACGTGGCAAATAGGGTCGGAAAGTATTACGGCGTATTCATTTAGAACCCAGTTTGGAATCCCATCAGGTCCAGGTCCTTTATGGGGTAGATCCCGCATGACAGATGAAACAGCCGCAACCGAGATTTGAGTTAGATCCAAACTTGATTCGAAGGTATCTACACTTTGGTAAGTTTGCATCGGTTCAAGAAAGGCTTTATTTATCATGCTGGCAATTTCCTGAGGCGAGGATGAGTCAATACCTGGGATTTGTATTTGAGAACATAAGGTCTCAAAGCCGCAAGGTGTTGTCATCCCTGCAATACGTTTGATTGCGTTCCACCACTGGCTTGGTCTAGTGTTCTTAAGATGCTGGACCTTGGCTGCGAAGTATCTGTTTCGAAGGATTTTCCTTTCCCGATTGACAAGGTTTCGGTAATAATGATACGTTTCGGACTCACCATTTGAGAAGGCATGCTGACGAGTTTTTACTAGTTCTTTAAAATCAGAAGTAACCCATGGAGGATCGTTTACATGAAGTTTTACTTGCTTTTGGGGCATAATTGTATCGATGCCAATAGTTATTAAATCAACGAGAAATTGTGATTTGGCTTCACAGGTTTCGACCTTCCCCAGGATCGACCAATCGATGGAATTTAAGTACCTGCCGAGTTCGTGCTTCCTACTTTGGCGAGTGTCTCGTTTTATTATGGTTTTTCTGCTGGAGTTGGCGTTGGTGGATCGTACCGTGGGTCGAAGAATGACACCGTTATGATCCGAAAGGCCAAAAGGGGGATGATGTGAACGGAGTTCTGATCATAGGAACGGAGTTCTGATCATAGTTCCCTTTTGGTATCTGTATCGTTCATGTTCACCCCGTTTAGATGATCGTACCGCTTTATCAGTTCAGGATAATTCGGGTTGTCCACAGTAAGTAACACCCCACGATTCACCTTGGTTACCTCAGATCTCAGAGTGAATTCACCTGATAGGCTTGTTACATTAACTTGATGTTCTTCTATTTCTTGTCTGGTGGTCTTCATCATCATCTCGATTTGACGGACTTCCTTTCGTATTGGCCGAGTTTTGATGCGTTCCAATAAGGCGGCTGATGCATAAGAACTGCCCGCCCGGTATCTAACAGTGCACGACAATGTATCCCATTTACCTTGACTACAACAACAGGATATACAACCGAACTGTCACCGTTTGCCACTAGCATTTGTTCTGTTTTTTCCTCACAGATAGAAGTATGGTGTTTCTTACGACATATTTGACAGGAGGATGGACAGCGACACTCTGAGGCTCTATGGCTTGTGCCGGTGCAGTTAAAGCACAGTTTCTTTGATGATAGAAGTTTCTTTCGTTCAGCAGTGGTAGTAACTTTGTCGCATTTCACTGACTTGTGCTGGGTACTGTTGCAATAAACACAGGGTCTTG